TGACTAAGAAAAGCATGTGGAATGTGGAATGTCAAAGCTGGAAGGGACTCAGACACCAAAAATCTGAATATAATTACACAGATGAGGAGACTGAGGTCTAAAGAGGTCAAGAGACTGGCCAGGTGCCCTGCAGACTTTGAACATGGAGCCAAATCTGCAGACAGAGTTTTTGACGCCCACGTCCCCAGGTAACAGGGAAAAGATGCGCCAGCACAGGTCACAGCTGGAGTTAAGCACATCCACCGGGAATCTCCTCCCCTGATGGCAGGATCTAAGGCATCGCTCTCCCTCCCCCAGTGGGGCTGGCCTTACCTCGACATAACGGAGGCCACTCCTTGGGCTGGGGTCTCTGCCCTCAAAGCTGGAGCTGCTCAAGCCACTAATACCTGCCTGGCCCAGATGACCAGCCTTTTCCCCTGCACCTCTCCCCCCCAAAATGACAGGAAATGGAAACGTGACAAGGGACCCACAAAATGAAAGGGTGTTCCCGAGGCTTTTGTAGGATACTGCCTCAGAGCCAGGAAGGTCAAGAGGGGTGGGGGCCCCAGGTACTTCGCTGTGCTACGACCAAACCCTCAGATAACCAGATCTAAACACACACATGCGTGTGCACACACTGTCTCTCTGGCCATGATGACCGATGTCCCATGTCTTGATCTCGACATTGTGGCATAAGGCTGCACTGACTAAGCTCCCAGCCTTGCCTGGCAAGATTTAAAAATTTAAACACCCATCCCCCGAGTTCTCACCAAGACAGTCATAAAAATATTTAAATTTATTGATTATAAATCTCTCCCCTCAAAAGAATAAATCCTGGGGGCTCGGCAGCATGTGAGTCCTCCCTTAGTCGATACCCCCAAGAGCAACTCACCATCTCCATTTCTTATTCTCCGTGGTTTGCAATCTTGGCTCCATGTTAGAATCACCTGGGAAGCTTTTCCAATTCCCAAACTCCAGGCCTCATCTGGACCCATTAATTAAACCCGAATCTCTGGGGGTGGGACCCAGGCGGCAGTATTTTTAAATTTCCCCAGGTGATTCCACTGTGCAGCCAAGGGTGAGAATCACAGCAGAAGTTAAGAGGCAAATGATGCTGATAATGGCACCGAGGGAAAGCTGAGAATCTAGAATGAGAAAGAAAGGCCCCTCCCCGGCCCCCCACACACAGTGGTCCAGGGAGCCAGAGGGGGGCAGGACTGAGGCGCTCAGTTCCTCCCCATCCCTGCATCACCCCCAGCTGCCAGGAGGAATAAGGGGTGGATGGGAGCCGCAAGAATGTACAGGCAGACGGTGGGGACTATCGATGCTTCTGCCCCGCTAGCGACTGCATCTTCTGGGACTCGGGCACCTTCCTAGCAGCCTTCGCTCAGTCGCGGTGTTAACTGTAGGCTTGAAGTGGGCAGGGCCCCAAGTGAAGGAAATGGGCTGCCCAGCTCCATGGAATGAGAGCCCTTTGTATGGGGATGCTAGATGCGGTGGTTAATTTCTTAACTCTCATCGTAATTCGGTTCACGCGAGACTCCTGGAATGTCTTTATCCATCACAGTGGTTTGGGAAGATGATAAATTAATATTGTTATCAATGGCGGCATGGCTGAAATGGTTAAATAGCAACGTCTTCTTTGCCGGCTCTAAAAAGAAAGAGCCCCAAAGTCCATAAAGAAGACAAATGGTAAACAAAACCTCCTATCTTTTGACAGATTCCAGGACGAGTATCTTTCACAAACCATTCTGTGGAGAAAAGGGAGAAATCTATCTCATCTGACTTTGTATAGGACAACAGCCCACACCATAATGAGGCCGTCCCAGTGCTGTGAAATTGCGCTGAATAGCTGGAGAGTGCAGCGGCCTGTTCCCTGGGCATGTTTATTACAGCCCTTTGTATGCACCAACCCTGCCAGCCCTGGTTTGCTTCTAAACTAGGGGAGGGGAGAAAGAACCCAACAAATTTGTTGCTATGAAACTTCCCAAATGGGAGACTGCATAATAACGTTTGGAATCTAATGCCCTTGCCCCAAGCTCTTCTTGTCTGGGTCCACCCCTGCTCTAAACTCAGCAAGGTCCTGAGTCAGCCAATCACCAGCAGTGCCTGGGTGGCCTCGGCCCCCTGCCCGGGCCCTCCCACACCCTGAGAAGTCAGGCTGAAGAGGGCCCTGATGGCCATTCCCAAGCCAACTGGGGAGTCAAGAGCCACCCCCCTCCCTGTTGCCCTGTGAAATTTATCAGAAACAAAGCAAGGAAGTACAGCCAGGGCTGGGGGGTGGCACCACACCTACAAGATTTTGGAAGCTGCTGAAAGCAAACCATCAAAGATCAAAATGCTGAGGCCAATGTGCTTCCACCCAAAGAACCATTTCGTGGAACCATCTGGCCCTGGGAAGACAAGACAGAAGAGTCCCATGGAGGAGGTGGTGGGGGTTGACCGAGAGACCCCTGCGTGAAGATCGCAAGAGCACACATTCTCTGCTGGCATCCAAACTCCTCCTAAAGCTGGTTCCCACCAAGATCTCACAGTCTGTTTTTGGTGGGAAGTGTACCTTGAGGCAACTGAGGATTCAAAGTTCCCATATACCCTAACCAAGTGACACCAGAAAAGGGAAGAGCTAAGAACAAAGATCTAGAACTTTCAAGAGATGCCCTTCCTCACCAATCGGATGGTTGGACTCTTCAGGTCACATTTTTGCTCACCAATCAGAGAGCAGATCTCTTCTCACCAATCATGAAGCAGAGCGCTTCAGACAACGCTTTTCCTCACCAATCAGGAGGCAGCATCCTTGAAGCTTTGTCTTCCCCTCCCCCCCCCCAGTCAGGTGGCAGGTTCCTTGAAGTACTGTCTTTCCTCCCCAGTCAGGCACTGAGAGTGCCACCCTTTCCTGCCACATTCCCTCAGCAGGATGTGCCTGTGACTTTCTGAGCAGGATCCATCTTTAGATTTTCCTTTCCATGAGTCCTTCTCCTAAGGTTCCCACCAAGGCTGTGGGCAGCTGCTGTCCAGAGCTGGGAAGGAAGACACAGCCACCTGGGCTGGCCACAGCATTTGAAATCGTAAAACAGGAACACACCTTCACCTGTTTGCCTCTGACCCTCCTAGAAACACGCAAAGGAAGCAGAGCACTTGGATGTCGTGCAGCCAGAGCCCTGGGGAACAGCGCAGGCTCCTAGGACCCCATGGCTTCCTGACATCTCTCACTCTGAGTGGGGAAAAGCAGCACATAGTCTTCCTGCCTCTCCAGGGATGCGGATTTCTGCTCTGACAGCAGAAACTGGCACAACAGGAAACAACCAGTGCCCTTTCTGGTACAGCCCAGACATCCTGACCCACGGGCACAGGACTGCCCACCTGAGTGGGTGCTGCTGGTTAAAATTTTTAGCTGAACCCCCAAGAAATCTATGTGCAAGCCAGATGTTTGCAAGACCCTTGGCCTTAATTTCCTCTGTAAAAGACAGACAACACACACTTTGTGCACACAGATGAAGGATACCTTCTAACTGAGAACCCAAAGCCATCTCTCCCTGGTCTTGTCTTGCTCACACTTTCCTGACACTGCAGCCGTTTCTTGGGTCCCTTTTCCTGGGCGACCTTCCTATTCTCTGCTCAAAGTCTCCTGGGGGACTCTCACCTGACACGGTGAATTTTTTAAGGGGAAATAGCCCAGCTACCTTTATGCTCATATTTCTCTTGTCATCCACCAGAGGCAGCCACAAGTCCACAGATATGAAAAGAGATCTTGCTTTCATCTTGGAAGTCACCCTACTCATCCCTGTGCTTTTGGAATTGAAGGGATGTCTCTTGGAGGAGACAGACTGGGAAGCTGGTTTTTGAGAAAAGCATTCCACACAAGTAGGGTGGGCTTCTTGAGCCCCGTGTTCAGTAGAGCACACACTTGATTGAAATTCTGCTGCCCCCGTTTTGAAATTCGTAATCATTTTTGAATAAGCCCCCTATTTTCATTTTGCACTGGGCCCTGCAAATTGTGTAATCTGTCCTGCACACAAGTGCCCAACATCTGGTGGATTTCCTATTAAGAAGATGATACTTTTGCTTCATTCAAAGTCTCAGCAGGGCCCACGGAAGGGTTTCTGTACTGCAGCTCCCCATCCGGGCCCAAGGCTGCCATGGCTTGGGACCCTCTTATGTCAGAGTCGATAAAGGTCCACGTCAGGACCCTGTCCACAGTGAGTTGTTGCCCAAGAGCCCTCGGAGGTAAATATCTTCTTGGGAAACCATGCTCACAGCTGGCCCTGGCCCTAGGCCTCGAGTTTTGGGGCAGGAGAGCCCCAGTTCTTGGAATTCCCAAAAGCTAATGTGGGGTTCTCCCCCTCTAACATCACTAAATTCCCTGGCGTTGACTCTCTCTCCTCTGAGTCATCTGACCATTGCTTCATTTTTGTTGGTGGGAGAAAAACAAACAGCAGAAAGTTAAAATATTAGTGCTTGCTTCAGTGGACAAAAATAGAGTCTCCCGTCTCCTTTTAATTTTTTTGTCCTGAGAAGTAAAGCTATTTGCAGATGGATTAAATGTTCCTTCTGAGACCCCGCTCCTGAAACTGCCGACCTCACTGCGACCGCGTGTGTCTGTGTGTGTTGGGGGGCGGGGGGCGGTGCATACATATCCAAAGAAGTGCGTCTGCGTGCGTTTGGTAAAAGAGAGTCCTTTGTCCCAACGGTAAGCCGGTGAACATGACTCGAGACCCTGTGGTATGCAGCACACCTGTGCGGAGAAGCCGGGAGGAGGAGGGGAGGGGGAGGTGTTGCGGGCTGGAGCCCTGCACCCTCGTAGGGGATCACACCTTCTCCTTTCTTCTCCTTTGAGCCATGTCTCCATCGCCCCTTTGTTTTCGCTTACACCTCCAAATACCAGAGAGGCCGTGCATGCGCGCACGTGTGTGTGTGACAGAGAGAGAGAGAGATGATACAAAAGAAGGAGAGAGGAAAGAGAAGGGAAGACTGGTATTCCAAAGGACCCCCGGCCCCCAGCCCCCTGCCTGTGCATAGCCTACCTTTGCAGGCCTTCCGGTGAGTGATGGGCTTGCCCATGTCGCGGTAGTAGCCCTCCTTGCAGTAGTGGCAGTGGCGGCCAGCGGTGTTGTGGCGGCAGTTGAGGCAGACACCCCCACTCTTGCGCCCTGAAAGCTTGTAGAGCTCCATGTTGAAGCGGCAGCGCCGGGCATGCAGGTTGCAGTTACAGGCTGCAGGGAAGATGGGGAAAGGTGTCAGGTGGGGGGTTGCTGAGAGGACAGGCACCCATGGGGGTCAAGAACTTTCTAACTCCTCCCTTCTCCTCCACTGCCGGAGCCAGGGAGGCAGACCTGTGCCCTGGGAGCTCTTCCTTGGCAGCCCCTGTTTGCACCCACAAGCATTCATTGAGCACCTAACAGGACCATGGCTGAGGTGCTCCAAAAATTCGAATGTTGAAGTCCTAACCCCTGGTACCTCGGCAATGTGACTGTATTTGGAGACAGAGTCTTAAAACAAGGCCCTTAGGGTGGACCCTACTCCAATCTGACTGGTGTCCTTATAAGAGGAGGAGATTAGGACACACAAAGACAAGCCAGGGATGTGCGCACACAGAGGAAAGACCAGGCGAGGACACAGGGAGGTGGTGGCCATCTGCAAGCCAAGGAGAGAAGCCTCCACAGAAACCCCCCCGTGACACCTCGATCTCGGACTTCCAGGCTCCAGAGCTGGAGAAGTGATTGGGATTTCAGCCCAGCCTGCGGAGCCCTGCTGCGGCAGCCGAGCTGACCCAGACACTGTGCCACCAGCCTGCACTCCCCTTCTCCCCTGCCAGCGAGGACTCTGGGGCCACACCATCTTCCCTCCCACCATCAACCTGCACAGCTTTCAGTCTTGCTCTGGGGACCCTGCAGTGAGAACCCCCATATCGTTCTCTCTGGCTCTCCTCCCTCCCAGGCTTCCCTCCCCACCTGTTCCCTACCTGTACACACTGCTCAGGACTCAGCACCCTGTTGCACCCACCCCAACACCCTCCAGAATCTGTCTCCTTCACCCGTCGCCATCTCTGTGTTCCCAACTCCCAAATCAGTATTGCCAGCTTCAGTTCTGGGGTCTCCATTTGGACCCAGAGGCGCCTCCCCCACATCTATTCACTCCTCACCCCCCTGCCCTCTAGGCTCCCTATCACCTGAGCTGAGCCCTGCGGGCTACCCCCAGGTCCTGCCAAAGGCTGCACTCAGCACTCTAACCAGAGCAGGATTTCTGGGCCCCAGTCTGAGTATGCCCATCGGGATAAAGGCGAACCCACTGAGCATGGCCTTCAGGGCTCCAAACTAGCGGGTCCTCTCTCCCCTCCAGCCTCTCTGTCTTTATGCTTCAGCCATTGCAAACTTCAGTCCATTTCTAGAGCCATGCGTAAAGACTCCTTGTCTGCCCTCTCCGAGGCTTTGCATATGCGTTCCTCTCCTCCTAGATCACTCCCCTTCTCCCCCACCTTGCATCCTTCATCCTCCATGTCTTGGTTCCAACGTCACTTCCCAGCCCACCTCCACCCCAGCTGGCCTGGCCTGGGCACCCTGCCCGTCCCACACAGCCCTCCTCTCATCACACCAGGATCGCCTGTCACCTGCCGTCTTCTTGAGGCTTCCAACTCCGTGGTAACTCCAGATGGGATCTGGCCTACTCTTGTTCACCCTACAGCACGATTTTATGCTAAGCATCTTCTCATCACATTTTATGGAATTTCTAAAGAAATACATGTGTAGGCTGGGTGCGGTAGCTCACAGCCATAATCCCAGCACTTCCCAGGAGCCAAGGCAGGGGGATCACTTAAGACCAAGGGTTTGAGACCAGCCTGGGCAACACAGTGAAATCCCATTCCTCTTCTCTACAATAAATACAAAAATTAGCCGGGTGTGCTGGTGCACCTGTGGTCCCAGCTACTCGGGAGGCAGAGGCAGGAGGATCACTTGAGCCCAGGAGTTGGAGGTTGCAGTGAGCTACGATGACACCACTGCACTGTAGTCCAGGCGACAGAGCAAGACCCTGTTTCCAAAAATATATGTGTATATGTTTAATTCATACACTTGAAAAACAAAAGCAGAAAGGGAAAAGAATGCACCCCTACTTCCATTAACCACTGTTAACATAAGTATCTTTCCTTTTAGGCTTTAATTAACATTTGCTGAGCTGTGGAGCTATTTCATTCTTTCCTGGATTGTACTTGTATATATCTAGTTTTTTAGCCTATTTTTTTCAAAGTGACAAATATTTTTTTCATGTCAAATACCATTCTTCATGATGTTCAAAGGTGGTCTGGTATTCCACTGTATGCACATACACAGCGGGCTCCTGGGCCTCTGAAGTGGATGCATTTAAAAGTAGGGGCTTCTAGGGTTGGGCAGTTAGGTTGCTTTCAGTTTTTCACTATTATAAACAACACAATGGTAACTACCTTGGAACACAATGGCAACCACCCTGAACAACCCATCTTTGAACATACACGTTTGTACTCTGATTACTGCTGCACAGTACATTTCTCAAGATGGGATTGTTGGGTTGAAATTTGGATCTACGTGTTTTTAACGTTGGATCCAAACTTGCAAAGCTGCCCTCAGAAAAAGCTGTGCTAGCTTACACTCCCCCCAGCAGGATATGAGAACTCCTGTTTTGCCACACCCTTGAAAAGAATAATATGCATTTGGTATCACCATTCTTTTTTTAAAATCTTTGCCAATTCGTCTGAGGCAAATACACGCACATGATTTTAATTTGCATGTCTTTGATTCCTAGGCATGATTTGATTCCTGGGCATTTCTCCATGTGTTTGTTTTTCTATTTATATTTCTTTTTTGTGCATTGCCTGTTCATGCCATTTGACCAGTTTTCAAATAAGGCAGGGTTTTTTTTTTATGCTGTCTAGTGCTCTTATATACAATGATTAAAAACCACTTATCTTCTACCATACAAGCTGCAAATATTGTTACCAGTTTCTTATTCACATGTGGCTTTTATTTGTGATTTTAGAAAAACACTTCCCTCTTTAATTATTCCCTCTGATATTATAAGCTTCTTTAAGGGTTCTCCCTGGAGTCATCTACTAGTTACTCCATTAACAAATAGAGGTGGACGGGGGCTCTAGAGCAGGCACTGTGTGGGATACGAGAGAAAAGACAGCTCCCACTTTGAAGTCTGGAAGCATCTGACAGCCAAATTAGACCAGAGAATGACTCCTGAGAGGCTTACTAAGTGTCCCTCAGCAACTGTCCCCCAGGTGCAAAGAAAGAGGCTGAAACTACACCCTGCCCTCCCACACAGAGGACTGTCACGCTTCACGCATGCACTGTCTCTTTGGACTTACTCTGCTAGGCAAGGGGGACAGGGAGCTGTTCAGAGAGGTGATGTGATCAACCTGCCCAGGACCACAGAGCTGGTAAGTGGGGGGCCCAGGGCTGCAACCCAGGTCTTTTGGCTCCTGGTCCATTGTCTCAGAGGAAAGGACCCACATCACCGGAAGAAGCAGCTGGGCCTAGACTCCAGCCAGAATCTAGATCTTTCCTATGAGCACAGAAATCACAGGGCCTGGTGCACCTACCCGGGGACAGGGATCTAGAAGGACCACCCAGGTCTCACTTCCTCGGGCCTTCTTTGCACCAGGAAAGGCCTTGTAACAGCATCTTCTGGTCCTTCTTGGGAGCAGATGTTAATCCTGCATCCTCCTCCAGAAAGGCAGCTGTTCTGCGTCCCCCCAACAGGGCCTGCCCTGGCCTCTGAGCCTTCCACTTTCCCACCCTGAGAGGAAGCTCAGGCTGGTATCTCTCTTCCATATGCACCTTACAGCAACAAAAGGTTCTCCCAAACAACTGGTCACACAAAAGAAAACTCTGAGGCCAAACATCAAAAGGCAGCCGCCTCCTCTCCCCATCCTTGGAGCTGTCAGAGGACATCAAGTGGCAATTGCCCACGCTCAGACTTCTGCAAAGTATTTTACAGCTTGTTTTCTTTTCTCTTTGTTTTATTTTCTCTACACAAATGGAAAAAAGCATCGGGCAAAGCACTCACATCTGGATCCCTCGGCTCCACACGGAGGTGTCACCCAACTCCCGGCCTGGCCCCAGCCCCTTCCTCCAGAGACACCTTAATCCCTCGTGCCTTCCTGTTTATCTCCTGCTTCTCTTGGAGGCAAAAATATTGGGTATTAGTTTCATTATCAGATTTCAAGGCGGGAAGGAAAGGGCAGCTCTGTGAGACCAGAGAGGTCAGCCCGAGAGAAGGGGTAGGGGGAGGCAGAGACACTCCCGAGGGACCAGCAGGGGCGAGGATAGTGAGGCTCTGCCTCTTCCCAGGGGTCCCCCAGCCATCCAGAGAGGCCCCAAGCTCAGTGCCCCCTTCAGCTATCATGTGGGGGTCACTAACACGTGGCTGCATTTCAGACCCAGGCATAACGAGAGGCAAGGAGGTAGGAAAAGGGGGACTCCCTACCCTCCAGCCAGAAACCCGACAGGAAGGGGGGCCCAAGAGATGGCCACCTATTTCCTGTCCCCATCCAAATGTCCTCTAAGTCCTATTTTAACACATGCCTGTGACCACTTCTTAGCTCCCAATATTCCTTAAGCCTTTCTGAACCTCTCCCACCAGCCTGGCCCTGCCCCAGCCCTGGCCACCCCCGAGTCAGTTCGATTCAACGCACATTTCCAGGGCCTAGCTGTGTGCCAGGCTCTGTGCCACAGGGATACACAGGGGAAAGACGTGCCCGCAGCTCTCCAGGGGCTCCTCGTGTCAGCGATTTCTTGGATCGAGTGAGACAAATCTTCTCGTCCACTGTGCTGGTTTGTTGAGGACAGGGGCAGTGTTTGTTCTTGTACCCTCCAGCCCACAGTAGGCCTCAATACAATTATTTTTGTTGTACAAACGAGGGGTGGGGGGAGGGAGGAGATGGATGCATGGATGGGGAGGTAGGCAGGCAGATAAATATGTAGATATTTATCTACAGATAGGCAGATAAACATGTAGATTTATATGTAGATAGACAGGCAGTCAGACAGGTAGGACAGACACAGGATTTACTGGCCTGGACCACACCCTGACCAGGTATGGCCTTGTGACATTTCTTTTACTGTTGCTCTGAACTACTTTAAAAGTCGTCTTGCTGCTTTAACTTGCCAATTCATCTTCTGTGCCCTTGAGAAGACTACAGTGCTTTAGGGAGAAGAACCCACATCTAAGAGCCCTG